CAAAAAAAAAAAAAAAAAAAAAAAAAAGTCACTGTTCAGTGGCAATGAAACTGGACTAACTATATCCCCCCAAATTTTTACACTTTACATTACTGTGTCTACATTTTATTCATTCCGACACTTCTTCTTAGAGAGCCAAAGACAATATCTACAGTCTAGGCTCTGTGTATGACTTGTGTTATAACCTTAAGTACTTCAGGTACAGAATGGGTGATGTTGCAAAAACAGCACAAAAAATAAAAAATAAAAACAGCATGGACTTGAGTCAGATAAAACTTGACTTCAGTGCTGACAATGTCCCTTGGCAATGTGACCTTGATCAGGTCCTTTGCATATACATTTATGTATGTATGTATGTATGTATGTATATGTATATATTTATATTTCTAGCTGGGGTAACCTTGAACAACAAGCTGTTGATAGCACTTGTCTGTCTCATAAAGTTGTCACATTAGAAGATGCACTAAACACCATATTAGACAAATATGAGCTATTACTATTATGTTATAATGAAAGGAGCAATAGGGGGAGGAACACAGTGCAATGGACTTTCCAAACATCATATCCTTCCTTCCTCACAAACATGCAAAATGAGGAATGCAACAACTTGCCCATGGGCACGCAGCTAGTAACTGGCAGTTGAATTGGAAGCTATCAATCCCCAAAGCAGAACTAAAGAGCCTCCCCAGTCTGGCAATGGCAATAAGGAAGGTCTTCCCTGAAAGAATTAAATGAGGTAATATATGACAGTTTGCTGGCACACCCATCTGTCAAAAGGTGGGTAGCAGGCCATATGATGCCCAAACTTCCTTCCAGATTAACATTCTTTGCTTTGTGAGGCTTTAACCCAAGGAATTCTGACTGGGGCACTGTAAGGATTTGGCTGGAGAGCCTCACAGACACTGACAAGATGGCAGCAGCCACAGAAGTCATGGGGACACAGCTGCTCCAATGTCTGTTCCATTCTGGAAAGCTCTACCTTGATCAGGTTTTAGTGACATATTTTAGAGAATGATTCTCCACTCCTACTTTCTTCTTCCTCATCGCATAAAAGTGTGGGTTGCAGCTGCTCCTACTGCTGTTACTTTGTATTTTAATCTACTTTCACTTTGTTTCTGTGCCCGGAAACAGTTCACACTAAGCAGTCCACTTTCAAAACGAAATGTCACCATTAGCTAATCCCAAGTGAATCGGTCCCTCTCTGAGTTTCACTTTGGCTCCATTTTAAACTAACCAGCTTCCAGGAATGACTGGCAAAAGGTAGGCCATACTGGGGGTCCACTACAGATTGGCAACTCCTGAGCACGATGAGTCATATGCACGAGGAGTCTTGCAAAGCTTGACCTTGTTTGGATGCATCACAGGCACAAGGACACATAAGCTAGCTCTGCATTACAAAGGGGTTCCGCATGAGGCACTCCCCAAATTTACCACCATAGGTAACAGAGGTAGTTGGGAAAGATGACAGGACTCAGCATCACCTTTCTCCGTCACAGAAAAGACAGGTCAATCTTACATCTCAAAAGAATATGTACCTAGCCAAATTGGGGAGAGTGGGGAAGACTTTTGGGGGGTGGAATAGCAGAATCTCAGTGGGGCATGCCTCTTTGGTGCCAGTGTCATGTGTCCTCAACCCATCTCAAAGTGTCCATGTGAAATGGAAACTTGACAAGGCAGAAGCGGAGCCTCCTGGCTCTACATAGCCTCTGGGTCTTAGAGGAAGCATAAACACAGGTCACCAGTTTGGTCCGGACCAGCTTAGTTTGGATTTAATTGTTTTAAGGCTCTGGCCCAAGGGAGTAAGCCCAATACTAAGTTTGAAATCAAAGCTGGTTCATTTAATTTAGAAAAATACTGATATGCATGTGGATGTTCCCAAATCATATAAGCTGTCTATGCCGCTCAGTTGTATTTCTGGACTTACTAAGTAATAGTCATAATTGCCACTAAATCTATCACTTACCTTTTAACTGTGTCCCAAGATCTTTATCTCATTTAATCCTTGCAAGAATTCTACAAAATCAGTAACATTCCATCCATTTTACAAAGGATAAAAACTGATTCAAAGAGGGTAAGACGTTTGTTCAAGTCGCATAGCTGACTGGAGTAGCCAGTGTTGGCACTCAAGGCAGATCTGTCTTATTCCAGAATATGTGTTCTTAACAATGTGCCAATGTTCATCAAAATTTGAAAGCTCCCAGGTGTTCAGGAAAGAAACGGAAGTTACCTGTTGAGCAAGAGTGCGATGGTGAGCCGGTTATATTTGTTTCTTGCTGTGTGGTAGGCTGGGTTTCCGCTCTCTGCGTAGGAGAAGATAAAGAAGCTACTGGAATGACAAGAATGGAAGAGTGGTGTTCAATTTGTGGAGGAAAATTTCCACCCTCAAGAAAAATAAAAAACAAAACTAAAATCAGGAGTTACCCTTTGACTCTTTCTTAGAAAATATTCAAGGATGGCCTTCAGGCATTATACTGCCATATAGGTATTTCATTATCATGAATAAATCTGATCTAGAGAATGATCTGGAGAGCTTATCAATAGACAGAATTATTTCACTTTTTATACTCCTAGGATCCCCCTGAAGCCTACAACAGTGCATCTTATGTAGGACACCCAATTAAACTTTTATTCATACCAATGACGTTGCACTTTTGTGGACCAGGGCCTTGAGGTGGGCACTAATCCACTCTCCCCACTTCACAAGAACCCAATCTGGTTTTCCTCACCTTATTCAAGTTCCTAATTATCCATCCGCACATCTTTCCAGGGAGATGCACACACTGACCAGTATGGAAAACATACTGAGAATATTTAATTCCTTGAGGTCCCTTTAAGGTGACAGTACTGTCCAATGTCTGAGTCTTGGTAATGAGCCTCAAAGCAATGTTCCTGGTACCTTGGCACCTTCTGCAGTTGTGTTTTGGTCACTCTTTTTATAAGACTGATTTCCTGTGTTATCTGATTCATCTTCCATTTCTCACCAAAAAGCTTCACCAAGAGTTCTCAGGGTTATGTTTCCTTTTCCTTTCTTGAAATCTCTTCTTTATTTTCTATCAGACATTTCACTTTACCTGCAGAGTTGACCACTTGCCTCTTAATAAGATCTTTACATCCCTTCCTCTTAGAGCACCACAGAAAATTAGAGCAAGTTCGTGGTGCTGGCTGGACAAGAGTTCCCAAACCTGGGCTTTCCTCATTGCCTCTCACTGGTCTTTCTATTTCCACTCCCCCACCATGGTCTTCACATTTCAACAACATCTCTTCTCTTGTTTTGAACTGTCTTTTGTTTTTGGTGGGGTTTGTTTGTTTGTTTTTGCTCTCCTCTAATGCTCAAATCTGTAACAGGATGTGGCTCTCTTTAGGAACTATAGGAATTAAGAACAGGATGAATCAGAAAGTCAGATGATCAGCGTCTTCAGTCAACTTAAGTCCATGCAAAAGACCTCTTGAGCTTAACTTCATCCCCTAGTTTGGGTCTTTGCGGTCATCTTTCTTTTCTTCTCTGCTCCTACAACTTTATATCCAACCAGTGCATGAATATTTTAGGTAACTAGCATGGACAGGGCACAGAGCACAGAGAGGGAATGGATGTAAAGATAAATTCTCCTGCCCTGGATCTGCTCCAGTGTTCACCTCCTTTCTGTACTGTAAAGTTCAACTCTAAACTCAAACTCTTTAGGAAACTATCAGGATGCCTATAAGACTCAACTACTACTATCCCCCAGGAGGTCACATAAACCAACACTTTCCTTCTGAAACTCTGCTTTAAACAAAGGCCGTAACTTACACATGTTCACCAAACAAGGAGCACTAAGCCATCCACCTCTGCAGGCACAAACTATTAAGAAGCTAAATCAATATTGAGAAAGTCAACAGATGCTCTAGTGTGTTCGCTGCCTGGAACAAAACTATTTTTCTTACAAAGTTTTATGGGCCTAAAATCCCAGTTTTAACCTAAAGACGTCTCTTTAAAACTCAGTTCAAAGTCTAATCCTTCAGATCCCTCCTGGTTGAATATAGACATGGTTCAACGGGAATGAAGGGAAATCAATATGTTCCATCAGACATTTTCAGCTAAAAGGTTGTGACATTTGTGTTATTCCTCAGGATCCAGAGCCACTTTAAAGTGCCAAAGGGTTGTGGAGGCTTTGAGAATCTCCACTAAAAAGTTACATTTTTAATCCGAAAAATAGAAAGCTTGAACCTAAACATGTCCTCAGAATGGCAAGCTATTTCCCCAGCTTTAAGTCAAATTATTCTCCACTTGTATTAGCCTAAACTTTAATCTAACATAAAGTTGAACTATGAACTATGTAGCCAGAATTGAAAAAACAAATGTGTGCACTCTAAATCCCATAAGTCCTTAAATCTGGTGTTTACTTTGTCATCAGTATAAATAGCATTACTCTGCTACATAAATAAATTAAAGGATGCCAGAAGCAAAACTGTGTAAGTCGCTGACACCCTGAAAAGACAGGGTAATTGTATGAAGCCTTTTCCGGTGAGAATGCCAGATCAGGACAAATTCATCCAAACATAAGCTCTATGTTCATTAATAGAAGGCAGCAAAGGCCCAACATTCAAATTAAAGGGGACAATCTTGACTCAACCATTTTCTATTCGTATGACTGTCAACACTGAACTTAGACTCTGTGCCTTGGTCCTCACAAATGTAAAATAGGATTGAATCACACCTACAAGGCATAGGATTGTCATACGAATGAAGTGGCTTAATACTTGTAAAGCAGTTAGCATGGTTCTAGACACAGGAAACAGAGTAAACATTAACTTCACTGAAATCTTATCCTCAAGTGTTGGGTGAGACTTCAGAATGGATTAAATGATCTCTACTCAGAGCTCCTTGTAAGGACAGAATCTCATTCACCTGACCCTGTTCTGGCATTCCCTATTTTTCCTCATAAGTCTGTGTTCAACTGGGCCAAATCCCCACCATCCTCCTTAGATGTCCAAGATCAGTGGTCTGGCTTTTTTATTTTTTATTTATTTTTGCTATTAATGAATTCCTTTGAGAATCTGATAAAAAGCTATAGGGTCCCCTCACTCTGAAGATGCTTATACATACAAAAGGTGAATATAACATGGGACAGAGGTTCACAGATTCTGTGAAGCCAGGTTTGGAAGCCTGTTCAAATCCTTACCCCAGATTGCACTTCTGCCTTAACACAACACCCTGGATGGTCTATATCCTTTCTTTTTAAAGCCTTCTGGGCTCAGAAGCACATCTGTTTACCTGGCTGGAGGTTCTTTGTGGGTGCTGGCACTGGAAGAGCAGAGGTAGAGGCCCTCATTGTCGTTGGAGCAGTGGTGACCATCGTTGTTGGTAGAGCAGTAGTGGTCGTCGTTGGTGGTGGAGTAGTAGTAGTGGTAGTTGTTGGTGGAGTAGTAGTGGTGGTAGTTGGTGGGGTAGTAGTAGTGGTGATCGTTGTTGGTGGAGTAGTATTAGTGGTGGTAGTTGGTGGGGTAGTAGTAGTGGTGATCGTTGTTGGTGGAGTAGTATTAGTGGTGGTAGTTGGTGGTGGAGCAGTAGTGGTCATCATTGGTGGTGGAGCAGTAGTGGTGGTAGTTGGTGGAGTATTAGTGGTGGTAGTTGGTGGGGTAGTAGTAGTGGTGATCGTTGTTGGTGGAGTAGTATTAGTGGTGGTAGTTGGTGGTGGAGCAGTAGTGGTCATCATTGGTGGTGGAGCAGTAGTGGTGGTAGTTGGTGGTGGAGTAGTAGTGGTGGTAGTTGGTGGTGGAGTAGTAGTGGTGGTAGTTGGTGGAGTGGTAGTAGTAGTAGTCGTGGTAGTTGGTGGAGTAGTAGTAGTGGTGGTCATTGGTGGAATAGTAGTGGTCATTATTGTTGTCGTAGGTGGAGCTAGAAATCAACATGAAAGCAAGGATTCATCAAGCAGCAGGAAACAAGAGTCGTGTGCTGGGCCTGTGCACCAACACAACCACTGGGACTGTCCCCAGGCAGAAGTGAGCACTTATCTCCCATGAACTCGGAGCTCTCCTCATTGGTCAACTAGAATGTGTGACTGAGGAGGGAGTGAAGACATGTGCACAACAAGGAAACAGCTGCATTGAAAGGAGTATATATGGGGAGGTTTGGAGATTAAAAAATGACACCTGGGATTTGTATCGAAGCCCTTTGAAAAGACTAGTCCCGCATATCAGATTTATGTATCTTCATAAACGTCTGTGAGGTAGGGAAAAAAGTCTAGAGCCCGAAGCCGTGTTTGTCCTCAGTGGCGTGTGACTAGGACCTAAATAGTAGTTCCCAAGAAGCAGAATATTTACCAAATAAATAGCATTCCGTTCAGTCAGTCCTAAGGGTACCCTCCCAACAGACCTGCATCCTAAATGTGGATTAATTCACACCATTAACAAACGCTAGATAACACAGATGCCTTGTGCATTTGGTTTGAAGGTGGACTAGACCTTTTAAGGTTCCTTCCTTCCTAAGGGATAATAACAAAAGGTAATGACTTTGTCTCTTTCCAGAGTCAGAAATGGTATAGGACTCCAAACCACTTACTGAAGTCCTCAGAGCTACCCAGAGAAAGAACTGCAACTAGGATTAACCCAAAACACAGTGCCTGGCACAAAAGCAGAAATTGTAGGATTGAATAAAAAATGTGTACTTTTTTCTCACCAGGCATCTTTTTTGCCCACAAGAAGTATTCTTAAATTTCAACTCTACTAACTATAAATTAGAACCTCAAATCTCTTGAATAGGAGACAATTGGTGTGAAAACTCTTTTGAGGGATTGAAGTCAATTTAATTTGGAAACTAATTTTTGCCTTAAAGAAGAAAAACGTTTTTTTCCAACAAATATTTATGAGTGTCTATTATGTACAAGGCATTAGTAAATGTTTTAGGCTTTGGGGGTCCTGTGATCTCAGTGGTAATTGCTCAACTCTGTCAGTGTGAAAACAGCCATAGACAGTATATAAACTAATGGGTGTGGCTGTGTTCCAATAAAACTTTATTTATAAAACTGTTGGTGAGCCTGTTTTATAATCTGATCTGGTCCTAGGGCTACAGTTTGCTGACCCTGCTCTAACAGTGTAGTTAGAGGTTTTTAAGAAGAGTGCAATCCAATCCCCTCCCTTCAGTTTGAAATCAAATCTAGAGAAAAAAGGAAGCAAGCAAAAAAGTCTGATCAAAGGCTATAAAAAGGAAGAAACCTAATTGGCTTGTTTAACTAATGTGTCTTCCTCAGTGGTAAGTATTTTCTGAGGAAGAATCTAGGAAACTAAGGGTAGAGGAGCTGCTGAGGAAGAGCCCTAACAGAAGGTTGAAAAGTAAGCTGATTCTGTGAAAAGTGCAAGAAAACTTAAGCAAAAAATTGGATTGGAGGCAGAGAGTCACTTTGGCTCAGTTACGGACCCGTTTCCCACTGGACAGAGCAGTGGCTTTGTAAATATTCATCTATTAAAGAATTTCTAAGCACTCTAAAAGTCCCCTACTGGGACCTCCCTGGTGGTGCAGTGGTTAAGAATCCGCCTGCCAATGCAGGGGACAAGGGTTCGAGCCCTGGTCTGGGAAGATCCTTCATGCCGCCGAGCAACTAAGCCGGTGTGCCACAACTACTGAGCCTGTGCTCTAGAGCCTGCAAGCCACAACTACTGAAGCCTGCGTGCCTAGAGCCCATGCTCCGCAACAAGAGAAGCCACCACAGTGAGAAGCCCACGCACTGCAATGAAGAGCAGCCCCCGCTCTCTGCAACTAGAGAAAGCCCATGCGCAGGAACGAAGACCCAACACAGCCAAAAATAAATAAATTAAAACAAAACAAAAAGAAACAAACAAAAAGTCCCCTACTAATTTCTTTCTCTATCCTTTTAAAAAAATATTCAGCCAGACCAATCAGATAATTTCACAACTCCAAGAATAATCTCTTCTCCACACGTTGCCTCGTCACATGTCTACAGCACCAGCCTCTTTTGGCTTCCTTAAATTGCCTCCTACATATAGGTTCCCCAGAGTCAGCTATTTGCTGCATCAGAATTGACCTTATTTTACCTGCCTTTGTAAAGGACACAAGCCAAGTACAAAAGTTGGGAGATTGCAATATCAAGTTCATTTAAATCAAAAAAGAGTCATAGCTTATGAAGGCCACAGGTATTGGATGCTGTTGTCAATAGAAGACTTTAGTGGGAGAAGATTCATTAGGAAAGAGCATCAGAAACCAGGAAATCCTGAAGAACCTGCTCCTTTCATCAAATGGCAAGAAAAATTAGGATGTCTACATCAAGATGGAAAAATGTAAACTTCCCAGATTTTTGGATTTTATGAAATTCTTAAAAGCAACAGGTGAATGTTATTGAGATGCAAATGTTTTCATATGGCAATAAAGCCATTTTATTTTTTCAACAGTCAATTTAGTGATATGGTGTGAAATATGCTTCAAAAAAATCCAAGACAGGACAGAGGGAGGGGGTGAAACTACATAGGCTTATACAATGTATATGCAACAAGACTGAATTGATGATTGTTAAAGCTAAATGATACATCTACTTGACAGGACCTTATATTACCTATTTTATATGTATGAATTCTCTATAAGTCTTAAAATGTTAAGAAAGGACACTTGAGAATTCTTCTAAGACATAACCTCAGAGAAAAGGGCAGTTCTTCAAGTGGAATAAATTTACCTCCATAAAAATGTTCACTATATTTCACTGTGGAACAGTGAATGCTCTTTCATGAACCAACTAGCATTTTTGAAGCACTGCTTTAGGAGATCGTTTGCTGACTGGGAAGATCTCTAGACTATGGTCTTGAATCAAGGTTAGTCTTTTTTTTTTAATTAATTAATTTTTTATTTTATTTATTTTTGACTGTGTTGGGTCTTAACACTTCATTCTACACAAATAGAAGTTATTCTATTCCAAAAGTTATTAGAAAACAAGATTATAGGAACCTCCTCTTTCTCTAATAAAGGAAAACAGTTAATATCAAACAGGAAACTCTTATCTCTGGGAACCCACAGGAAGTAATCAAAGGAAGAAGGAAGACAAGCTCACCTGGCTTTATACTTAAGTCTAGGGTGATTTTTATATCATTGAACCACCCTCTCTTCTCAACACGGCAACAATACAAGCCACTGTCAGCCTGGGCTGCATTCTCTATGGTCAAAGACACATCCCCTTCACCAATGTTTCCGTTTAGCTTATAACGTTTGTCCTTCTGAAAGGTGACACTGTATCCATTAGTCCAGATAATGTCACTTCCGCAGCGAGTTAAAGGACATGCCCCTCGGCCCCAGCACATGCTCGTGACTTCTCCACCATAGGTGCAGGGTAGCCTGACAGACTGACCCACCACTCCAGTCACTCGTGGGTAAGACGTTACACCATCTGTAAATAAAGAGAAACCTGAGCATGAGGTCTCAATATTTTAACTTTAATTTCATTCTCATATTTTTTCTTTATATAGCTTCTTTGGTTTGTAATCATCTGACTATGTCTTGAGTTTTAAAATTTAGTATAAGCATTTTTCTATGTTAACATATTCTTTAGCAGCATTACTATTTACTAGATATATTTGTAGATAAAACATCATATAAAAGTTTTTCTGTATTCAGGATTATTTCCTAAGAGGAAAAGATTTCCAAGAAAGAAAATATCGGGATAAAGGGCAGAAATATATTCAGTCTCTTGGTGAATATGACCAAATTTCTTTCCAAAAGGTTTGAAACAAATGATACTCCAGTAATGCATGAGTGTGTGTGTACTCCATCCTGTGTTTGACAGGTATCTGCTTATTTAATAGGCAATACATACATGTGGCTTTTCCTCTCCCCTAGATTCAATCACTCTCTCAGTTGAAATCTGTTTTAAAAAGTCTATTGCATTTAAAGTTTTGATTTTCAATTTTTATTGCAATTTAAAAAATTGCTATTGCAAATAAAGTCACCTCACAACCCCTCTCTTATTTAAAAAAAAAAAAAAGCAGAGCTAATGTTTTACTTAAAGCATCATTGACTAGAAGGCAGAAGCCTAGTAAACTCTTTAGAAATCAGTTCTTAGAAAAAAGGGTTTATAATAGTTTCAGGAGGAACTGAGGCTTATCATGCTTTACGATCAATCCAAAAAATTTAAGCAGGGATCCTTTCTCGTGAGTTGATGACAGCCCAGCAATGCAGGTGGTAAGGTCCACTTACCCAGGTGAAACCAAAAAATCAGAGAATATTCGATCAAATACTAAATTTTGCCTCTTAAAAACAAATAGGCAGGAAAACTCTCTCCTGTGGCAGTGGCTTAAAAAACCCTGCATTGCCAAATGCAGTCTGGGGGGTCCTTGAAAGAAATCTGAGATTCAACAGTTAATCATAGTTAGGACTGAGCTGTGAGTCTGGGAAATGCTCTGGGAATAAAACACTCATTGTTACATAAATTAAGAGTCTATATTTTTCACTGGAATTCTGATAATATTTAATTTTGCTTAATGTCATTTTTGGACTACAAAGGTAATACATGCTAATTATAAAAATTTAAGTTTTAGAAGTATAATTTAAAAATGTACTTTCCTCACATTCCCACCTCTAGAGATTGTTTTTAAAACTTAGGATATGTCTATTCTAAAATTTTTCCCTATCTCACAGAATGTTTTGAATTAACATATTTTTCTTTTTAAACTTTTTTTGGGCCACACCGGGAGGCATGTGGGATCTTAGTTCCCCAACCAGGGATCAAACCCTCACCCCCTGCTTTGCAGTCGCGGAATCTTAATCACTGGACCGCCAGGAAAGTTAAAATATTTTCTTTTTAAAAGAAATAGTTGCACATGGTTAAAAAAAATCAAACGGCACAAAATGGTACAATAAAGCACTCATCTCCTTCCCACCCTATCCCCTTTTCTTCTTCCCGTCCCCTTCCACACCGTGATAACAACCGTTACTCTTTGCTACATACACTTGAATAGTTCATGCACACACAACCATCTACCTACTCCTTTTTTGGGTTTCAACACAAATGGCAGCACATGTCATCCTGTACTGCATCGTGCCTTGTTCACCTACCCATAGATTTTGTAATTCTTAGCATTTATGCAATTTCTTTGGTTTAAGGTGTCAGCCTGGTTCTTTGGTCACTAGTTGACCCCATTACCTTCCAACAAACCCCAAGAACCCTACCCTCCATTTATGCAATTTCTTTGGTTTAAGGTGTCAGCCTGGTTCTTTGGTCACTAGTTGACCCCATTACCTTCCAACAAACCCCAAGAACACCTACCCTCCCCCACCACACCCACACCCCCCCCCATACTCCCCCTTCCTCAGCGCTTCCAAAGAACAGCCCACCTATTCACTTACCTGTCAGAAGGAGTATGAGGCCCAGGATGGCTACCCACGGATGCATGATGGTGTCGGCCTGAAGGAAAGACAGAGCACGCTGGTTGGTGTGCCCCCAAACCAGATGGTATCAGAACGAGTCTTAATTCTCAGATTGCAACTTCTCCTTTTACCCTGATGGGGGGAATCACATAAGACTACCTGCTGGAAACAAGACCATGCAAAGGCTTCAGGTCTGTTAGCTCCAGGTGACTGAGGGCTCTGCCCCTTCCAACAGAAAGGCAAAGGTGTCCTCTGAAGCAGTCCCCTCTTCCCCAGCTCCTTTCCTATACTTAGACTCCAAACTGACTCCAGGTGCTGACAGAGGAGATAAGGGAGCAAACAGGAAGGAAACCAGAGGCCAGCTTAGCCAAGGACACCAGAGCAAAGACCAGACTTCCCGTGGCAAAGGTGCACTTACCCTTTGCCTCGAAGATGAGAGTCAACTGGCCTTCTGGCGAGGGCAGGGGACTTCCTTCCTACTCTGTGGCCACAACGGCTAGTCTCCAGCCTCATTCAAATTGTCAAGTGCCCACTGATATAAAAATGCACAACATGAAAGTTGTGAGTTTCAGTTTTCTTTGGGGACTTACTGAGGACCGTCTTTGGCCCAGGAGACTGCCTTTCAGAGAGTTCTGAGGAACCTCTCCCAAGAGACAGAGGTGGAGAGATAAGCATATATATGATTTTGGAGAAGTACAATCAGGCACACATCTCGGTAGAAGGTCGCCGCTGGTCACAAGGAACAGATATCTCAGTTAATGACTAGTGCTTTTCTAAGTACGGGAAGATGAAAGAAATTTGGATTCATAAAATTTTCTCCTGAAAACATCTAACTATCTGAAGGCCTGTTCAACCAGTTTTCCCAGAGCACAGAGTGCCATTCCTGATCACTGCCCTGAACTCCTTTCAGGGTGCATTGAACATGAGGGACTACAGTGGCTAGTGACTTAACTCTTATAGAATCAGATGGAGAGTGACACTGTTTAGCTGGCAGTGCCCCCTCATGGTTATAAATTCAATCATTATTTGGGAGGAAATTCAGGACCATTTTATCCCACGGTGCTAAGAATACTCTTTCCTCAGTCAGGCCAGGATTCTGTTGATCCTCAGTTTGCTATTATTGGACTATAGGCACTGCTAATAGTGGCTAAAAGTCTCTGGACCACCTGTCTTACTAGTCTGCTAGGCAAAGATTCCCTCTTGTTGCTTCTTCCCATATCGAGAGTTACACTATTACAATCTTGAGTTCATAAAGAAATATATATGTGTGTGTGTCAATCATTTCAAGTTGCCTAGTCATCATTTTTATCAGAGGCTCAGTCACACGTTTGGTGATGCAAGAAACAACAACCTTGTAAAATACACAGAATACAAATAATATAGCTAGTAGCATTAGTAGGGTCATAAGTAAATATTTAAGCCAAGAGCTTCCACTAGGTGCGGTTCAGTATATTCCCAGCTCATCTAACTCAGTCTCTCCTGTACCAATCGCTATCTTAAAAGTAATGAAATATTGGTATTGTTCATAAGGCACTCAGCCTAATTTCCTAGTGTTATTAGGCTGATTATCCTTAGTTTAACTGTTCCCAATATAAGGGAGCTTTTAAACTTAAATGACTTAAATAGTCTGGTGATAGTCATATAAATCTACCCCATAACTGAAGGAGGGCCCCTCCTAATAAATAGGAAGTTATATTTTTTGACTGAAATTTAGCTTGTTCTTACTGAGCTTGAGTAACTGTAAAAGAAAATTCATATGTATAGCCATGGCCAGAGCAAGTACCATTGATTGGCCAAGTGAGAGGGTCCCATCTAGTAATATCAATATAGCTCAAACAGAACTATAACTTCTTTCTTCTAAAATAAATTTCCTAAGGGCCATCCAATTAGAGCCTTGGAGAGGAGAAATTCACCAAGGTAACCCAGAAATATTGGATGTAGGTAATTGACCATAAACCCAGCAACTGTATTAATTTCTAAACTCTGTAGGATTTATGTCCATGATAGAAAAACATGGATTTATGCAAAAGTCCAAGAAATTATTATAAAGAATTATATTATATAATTATATTCATATTTCTATAATTTTAATTGTATGATATTATTATCTAATGTAATTATTATATTGAAAACATAATAAATAATCATATGGGTCAGGTCTGGCATCTAGGAATAGCCATCTACTTCTGATGTTGTCTTCTTGTCTTGGTGTGAGTGCAGTTTCTCCTCTGTTTGAGCATTGTTTTAAGGTGAGTTTGAGGTCAGCAGTTCTCTCTATAGGCCAGCCAAGTGCAGGGGCCCTTTCTAAGTGGAAAATATGAATCCAAAAGTTAATTTCCTTCAGTCTTTCTGTGCATGAGCTAGTTAAGAGTACCTGATAAAGGTCCTTCCATCTAGGTTGGAGATAATCCTTTAAATGATGCCTTTTCCAATATGCATAATCTTCTGGTTATAGTTCATGGGGCATCTGATCTTCATCCAAAGACAGATTACTGTGATAAGCTTCAGAAACAAACTTAGAGTGTCCTTTTAATAATTCAGTTAAACTTTACAATAATGTAACGTTAACAACGGGGGCTATCTGGTAAGTGAGTCTTAGGCAGTAAATACAGACCTCAATTAACAACACTAGAATTTAATATCCACTGAAACATAATTTTTCTCTCTAAAATTACCCTGATTTCTATCAAATATAGCCAAATTAAGAGTAATTTGTTTGCAAAAATAAGTCTGGTTTCAATAAACTTGGCCTGATTATTTACATAAGTGTTAACTGATCATACGGGCTCTTTTTTAAAATTGGCTTTGCTGGAACTTTTTATAAAGAATCTGATTGAATTTTTAAAAGGCTTCTCAAGGCCAGAAAAGCCATCCCATGGGCTTGCCATCAGATCCCACCTACAATATCTACAGATTTGGGTGAATTCCTCTCTTCTCAAGGTCCCAAAATATCTTCAGATTCCTGCATCTGTCAGGAGGTGGCCTCCCTTATTCACTTGATAAGGCTGCTAGTCACATAAGGATTTACAGTTTTGGAGGAATCAGGTAGAAAGAAAAGATAAATGTTTCAGTTCTGCTTACGAAGGTATCATTTACCAAATTACTGTAAGTCATAATTAGCTTAAAGGGCTAATTTCCTTATATCTGGAAAACAGATTAAAAGGCAGTAATATTTCAGAAAAAAAATTGTAAAAATTATAACCATATTGATCAGTTCACTGAGTCCTATGTAACTAATTTTTGATCTTTTGTTAACAGTTTTATGAAGAGTTTTACAAGCCTGTGCTTGTCAAAAGTCCTTTCTATGAATTTTCTTTAAGATGAAACATTTTTGCAAAGGCATCAGAATCAAACAATAACTGTCTATGAATGACAAAGATTTTAAAAGGCATGGTTAAAGATCTGATTGCAAAAACTATGATGAGATATCACCTCACACCAGTCAAAATGGCTATCATCAAAAAATCCACAAACAATAAATGCTGGAGAGGGTGTGGAGAGACAGGAACCCTCCTACACTGTTGGTAGGAATGTAAATTGGTACAGCCACCATGCAGAACAGTATGGAGGTTCCTTAAAAAACTAAAAATAGAGCTACCATATGACCCTACAATCCCACTCTTGGGCATATATCCGGAGAAAAACATGGTCCGAAAGGATACATGCACTCCCAATGTTCATTGCAGCACTGTTTACAATAGTCAAGACATGGAAGCAACCTAAACGTCCATTGACAGAGGAATGGATAAAGAAGATGTGGTACATATATACAATGGAATATTACTCAGCCATTAAAAAGAACGAAACAGTGCCATTTGCAGCAACATGGATGGACCTAGAGATTGTCATACTGAGTGAGGTAAGTCAGACAGAGAAAGAGAAATATCATATGATATTACTTATATGCGAATCTAAAAAGAAATGATACAAATGAAAGTATTTACAAAACAGAAACAAACTCAAGACATAGAGAACAAACTTATGGTTACCCGGGAGAAGGGTGGAGGGAAGGGATAGTTAGGGAGTTTGGGATTGACGTGTACACACTGCTATATTTAAAAAGGATAACCAACACGGACCTACGTTATAGCACAAGGAACTCTGCTCAATGTTATATGGCAGCCTGGAGGGGAGCTTGGAGGAGAATGGATACATGTATATGTATGGCTGAGTTGCTTTGCTGTGCACCTGAAACTATCACAACATTGTTAATTGGCTATACTCCGATATAAAATAAAAAGTTAAAAAAAAAAGATCTGATTGTGATGCAATTGGCAAAGAAATTTGTTTCATAACATTTTAAGATAATAATCAGTTATGACTGATAACATTTTACTAAGACAAACCAGGTTTTTAGGAATTCCAATAATTTCTAGAATATCTATATTAATAACATTTCCCCCTAAAATATAGCCTAAGAATGTTTATCACAATTCATTTGAAATGCTTCTCATGTAACTTAACATACCAAATAAGCCTAATTAGTTTAATATTTCTCTCTTTGTTAAGGAGAGAAAACAATTCCCTTGAGGTATTCCAGGGCCTTTTGGAAAACCTCAAAGTTAGCTAGAGGTCAAATAAACTTCAATTAGAATGTGATCTTTGGGAAGTTTGCCAAAAATATCAAAAGACTTTAAAACACTTGGCATCATACGTCACTGTGAAACAATACTCATTCACTTAACCAAGAGACAATAAAAGATTTCAAAGGCAAATACAAAAAGTTATCACAAATTACTTAAAACATAAAGAAAATTTACAATCTGTTATAAAAAGCGGATCAATATTCTAAGAAAACACTCCCCTCTTAATACAGAAAAAAACAAATTCAGGTTTTGTACCATTTTACCTTTAATACTGAAATTCATTTACTCAGTTAAATTTATTCTAATCTTAGTTCTGACCACACAAAAAATTCCCCTCTAAAGTTTCTTATTTTTTCTCTCAAACCTCCTAAAATTTTCTATACCCATATTAATCTGTCTCTTCTTTCCCATTTAGAAATAACTAGCATTAGGACAAAAT